ACTCCAGGAGGCTACTAAGGTGGCCGCCGAGGAGATTGGCTCAACTGGTGACTAGGCTGTGGGCAAGCGTGCGAGCAAGCGCCGCCGTCCGTCACCATTGGCCACCCCAGACAACCGTCCGAGCCCTCGGTTCGCTTAACGTGAGTTCGACGCGGGCAGTGAGAACGAAGCCGAGTCCGGGAGCACGCACGATGCTCCTGTGGGCTCTACGGGAGGGCACAGCCCAGTGCCCAGCGAGCACAAAGACGACGGCGTGCAGTCGCTTGCTAGTGATCACGGTGATCACAGTCCCAGGACATCGGTGCGCTCTGAGAGCACGGACGTCAAGGCTAAGGGCACTCCCAAAGCTGGCTACGACGAGGAGGAGAAACCTCGCAAACGTCTCTCGCTTGCCGATGGTCTTGCGCGTGCTAAGACTGCTAAAGCCGAAGGCGCCAAGCCCTCTAAGAAGCGTACGGCTTCGAAGTCTCCACTCCGCGAGAAGAAGGAGACTGGGGACTCCAATCGGAGCCTCTTCGGCTCCTCGGATGAAGAGAACGAAGAGGAGGAGGAAGAGGGTGCTATTCTTGAGCCCTGGGAGATCACAAACGACCCCGACCAGCAGCAGGAGGACTTCCAAGCTGCCCAGCGTACGCGTCAGGATCCGTTGGTAGCACCCGTCATCCACGTCGTCATGCCAAATGCCAGACAACCTGATCCATATTCTGGCCACTCAGAGCCACGCGTTTTGAGCACTGAGTTTGTATATTTACTCCTTTCAAGATATATACATAACTCTATTGGCAGCCACGCGTTTTGATCGTTTGCATACTTGTTTTAAAATAAATGCATAACTTAATTTGCAGCAAAAATGCAAACTAGATTTCGTGATTGGGAGAACAAGGCTCTGGTTCAAGTTGCTGCACAGTTCGAGCTCGAAGGCCTTCGAATCACGTGGCCCGATGTAACATGTGTTATGGCGAAGTCGACGAGCACCGACTGCGACCTCGAATTGCGCCTGGCGATCTTAAAGCAAACGTACGAAAAGAAGGCGTCCTGTTTTCCCCGTTGCTTCTTTACAGGACCTGCGCAACCAAGTATTTTCCTATTATCTCGGCGACCGGGTTCTACTGGTGGACGGAAAGGAAGCAGCAAAGGGCATAAAGATGCTCACGGCGGCGATAGTTTCGTGGTGTCTTTATCCGTGGCGGTAACGATGTTGATGGAGCTAATGAGAGCGAGCACGGAATCGATGTTGTGGGCAAAACGCGGCATGCTGAAGCTTCTGGCCCTGGCGAAATTTCGTACGTTCTGAATAAATCTCTTGAAATCGTTGGCACCGATGACCAAGATTGACTTAGAGGGCTCGAGGATGATGTTGCACAGGATTTAGGCATTCAAGTAGATCTAGTAGCAGAGGAACACGCTTATACCGAACGTGGCGATCATGAGCCTAGAAGGCCAATTGTCATTGTGGAAGAACAGGAGTCATATACGCACGATCTCGCAGCGCAAGCTTTAATGGAGACATTTGGAGATGTTAACGTGACGGACATCAGACAACAATCTGGACGAACGCAAGAAAATGCTGGGGAGATATTGCCCGCGGGAATCGCCGTTGCTATCGACACCATCGGCCCACTCAGGCCATCTAATGTTCTGTTAGATATTGGACCCGGCATTGGCAGTTTTTTGGTCCAAGTGGCGCTTTCAGCAAGTATTGGAGCATTTATTGGTGTGGAAATGCGACCGGGAATTGTGTGATGTTGCGCTGGGACGCACGTGGCATCACATCCCGGACTTGCCAAGGTGGAATAAGGCTGTCGACGTACGAGATACTGCGTTGTCGTGCCTGCCTCCAACGTGTAATGCCACGATCATCTTCGCAAATATTTTTTGTGTTTGAAGAGACTGCGAAGTACGCTGTGCCGCGTGAGCTTAGTGTCATGGACAGTGCTCGGCGTGTTGTTTCGACATCGGTGCTCTGTCTCCGCCACCGCACGACCTGCACACAATCCTTTTGCAAACGCTGGACTTTGGTATCAATTGTTGATGCTCCGTGTAGCTGGAAGATTGCATTGCACCCCATGCATGTGTACGTACGCAGTGAATAAAACAACACTTCAAATAGAACAATATCAAATAGCATACTTTCTTCTATACATTTCGATGCAAACAATCGACACGCTGGAAAATACGATGTGGGGGACGAGGAAAACACATATCACTACTTCTGTCACTACTTCTATCCTTATTTCTGTCATATAGTACGCGCCTTATGTGTAAAGTACATTCGAAGGCATCTTCTACGAGAAGACAGAGAATACAGTGCCATTGCTTTATCCTCAGACTTCATCTTGCAGCTCGGGTCTTCATTGGTTACTTGCTGCTACTGCTCGGGTCTCTGTCGGTCAAAGCGGCGCACTTGCTGCCACGGATCTTCGTCTTCGCTCGTCATGGCGGTCCGTGTACCGATATTTGCTCAGTTCTATGTCAGTCAAAACGGTGCTCTTGCTGCCACGGCTCGCGTCTCAGCTGGGTATGGCGGTCCGTGTACGAAATCTACTTATAATACTGTACCATCGTCTAGCAAGCAGACCTGCATGCTCGGTATTTTACAAAATACTATTCTCGTACTAACGGAATTAACCCAAAAAGTGATCCGATTTTTAGAATATTTCGTGCACTCACAGATCATCAAAATTTAATAATCAATTTAATTTGAAAGGGGTGTACTTTATCTTGATATGAAGCATGATTTATTGGCCATTCACGCTGTATCCAAATCGTTAGTTTATTCATCTTAAACATTATCGACTTCCATGACAATCAGGATGCTTGTGTGATCAGGAAATGATCAACGCTATCAACGCTGCAATACATTCAAGAGAACTCTCTTTGCAAGCACGTGATTCTTCTACTATAGCGAGTTAGGAGAATTTACCAATTATATTTTTTGATCCAACTAGCATGCTACATTTCAGCATTTCCAGCATTGCAACTTTCCCGACTGTACTGGGCCAACTTAGGTTCAGCAAGACGGCTCCTACATATCATCAACAGCGCTATAATACGCGACAGTCGCGTGCAAATTTGCTGGTGGTGTCAGATATGTCTGCGTCCTGATTGTTAGCCACAGACACAAAAGCGAGAGTACCACGATTGCGTGATACAACAAGCCGATTGTAGTACTTGCAGGCGCTGCGGCTGCGCCAAGTACGAACAGCTATTAAACACAATGCGCTTTTTAATTCATACAAAGCGAGTTTCAATTGTTAAGCGATGACTCAATATAATTTGAGATATTCTTTCACCCTTAATTTGTCACGGCTATTTACTATGTACACTGGCCTCTAGATTTTGATTCTTGTTAGAGCCACTCGCCTTTACATTCAGCTCCCGAGACGGTGCACGACTATTTAGCCGCTCGAGTGTTTTTACGTATAAAAATCAGAGCTTTCCGTGTGAAACACGGCATTAGTTAACAAATTAAATTGCGAGATTCGTTTGAATGTCAACAGCGATACTCGCACGTAGCCCACCAAAAAGTCCAAATACTTATGTGTGGTGTGCACCCTTAGGAAAACATTTTCTTAATTAGTACAACCTTCTATTAGTAGTACTTAAAGAGCGCTAGGCTGTGCACCAGAGCATACGGAAAGTCTATACGTTGTTGGACGTTTTACAAAACAATTGTAGTGGTGCTGCAACAATTTTTCAAAATTGCAACAAGTTGAAATTTCGAAAAGTTCGATGTATCTATAGGTAGCTGATCGGTATTGCCTTTGAGCCGCAGCTGCTGCAGTGCTTCACGTTGGCTATTGGTGAATGCAAGAAGTTCTTGAGCAGAAGCTCGGTAAGTCCTTTACGATTTCGCACCAGCTGTTCTTGTTGCTTAACAGCGACTTGAACCATTTGTAATTTCGGATAAGAGCTTGTTTTTCATGTTGAGCAACACGGTTCAAGTGCTCGAGTGGAACAATGACCCTCTCTTCTTTTTCTTCGTGCAGATCTGCTTCGGTCTGGTGAGTTCTCAGAGATATGTTTACGTTGATCATCTCTGGGTAAGCGGCACCAGGGGAACTTTTCTCGTTAAATGCGTTTTACCCAACGCTGCGTCTCCCAATGCTTTCGCGACACCCGCAATGAGAGCGCATGCAGCAACGACGAAAAAGGCCACCCTCATCCTAGATATTTGGAAGAAATTAACTTGATTTAGTGACTGCAGGCGGGGGGGGGGCTTGCTTGCTGCTGCGCTTAAGATGAAATTGGAAAATGAGCTCCTGCCTTGAGTCTCCTTAATTCGAGATCACGTGATGACCTCCAATCATTCTTTTTAAACACTGTTCGTCAACACAGAGCCTTTGCACGAGTCCGCGCTGTCTTTGACCTCATGTAATCATGTGCGATACAACGAATGTACTAAGATTACGCTATAAAACTAACTAAATAATTGAAAGCTATTTAAACCATGAACGTCTCATAGTAAACCAAATGTATGGCAACACTACACTATTGAATAGTGTAAACAAATTTTGCTATCTCTTTGTTCGGTCGTGGTGCTTTGTGTAAGGCGACTATGATATTTTGATACCGGGCGGCGACACTGCCAACGTAAACACATCACAATACATGTGCCGCCACCTGCCGCCACCTGGAGAACTCCATCAACAATATGGATGATGTAGCAAATCATCCACGTCTTTTCAACCGACAGACATCAATTTAGGGGGATTGTTTGTAATCCATTCGACATTTCCTACTACATTGTTGGTGGTGTTGTCACACACCTCCAATTGGCGTACGGGCTGAAGCCCGAGAAGCGTAGTTCTCAAACATCGAGCGTTTTTCTGGTTAGTGAATGAAGAGGAAGAAGATAAAGAGAATTGGAAAGAAGCATACATCGATTGACGGATTAACGTACTTGCGAAATGAAATGGGTAGGCGACTCACTAACTGACTGTTGCTATCGATATGGGTGAAGCGTGTGCCGATGCTACTCGATGCAATGTGGTGTGACTTCACGAGATGTTGATCTTAGTGAGGCCGTACAGTTTGGCATCAATTTGACAGCAGTTGCGGTAGACGTTGCGTTTGTACGGTGTGATCATCACTACATCTCCTGGACGTGGAAGCTTGGGGTCGTCGATGTTCACTTTGAGTAGTGAGACAGAGATGAGGAATTGGTTTGCTACGAATGGGTCGTCCTGTTGCGCTTGCTTGAAGACCTTAGGCATATACGATGTAAGCGTGTAGCGAGATGTTCGTGTTGGCTATGGTTGATTACCTGTTGTTGCTGCTGCAACGGTTCTGGCGCCTGATATTCGCCAAAGTAGAGCCGTAAAAAGTGTAGACCTCGGACTGTGTCGGACGCCATCCAAAGAAGACGCGTCTTGGTGCGCACGGACGCGCACACTTCCTTGTCGTTGCCGTCGCTGTGCATGATAAACTTGCGCAGATCTGGATGACAGCAAGTACTCCATTCGTTAATAATCTGGAATAGTCGCGCATGCCAAGCTTTAACCCGGTTAAGTACGTACCGTCGACTGTATCGAAAATCTTTCGGCTGTGCTTCTCGATCGTGCTCTTGAGCTTTTTGTGATCGTTCATGGCTAACACTGGATCGTGCTTCATTGTCGGCGTAGATCGAGGCTCGATCATCACGTTGTCCGGTACTTGCTTGTCGACTGCGTCTTTGTCGCGCTGTTTCTTTGGTGGCATTGCTGTCGGAGGAGGAGAATGCTGGCTCGGGCTGAATGGACTGTGTGATCTGTGGTCTGTTCACGCGTTTGCTCCTGAAAGGGACTAGGCGATCGCAGCGGAAAGCATGGAACATCGAAGCAAGATTTTATATGATGTTGTGAGCATCAGTTCTTAAACGTTTGCGACGAGGACAATGTCGTGCGGCATAGCTCAACAACGGTATGCCTGTCCCGCGCGTCGTACCTCACTTGAAGAACCAAATTTATTTCGCACCGTTAGGACTGAGCAATGCCCAGTAGCTTTCGAGACTGTCCGAATCGTTGAGGCGAACGTGAGCATGTACAAGTGTAAGTTTGGTCGCTAGCTATCCGAGTTGTGGGCTGTTGCTAGCCGGTTCCCAAAGTTACAAGAATCGCTTGTGTTGGTGTCAACAGCTTCACGTGTTGGCCACGATTTATGGTCTTCAGCGCTGAAGAACGGCGAGAGCGACACAGGCTCGCTGTTCAACGTAGTCGAGCACGTGAGAGCACTGAGCAGAGAGCCGAAAGACTACGCTGACAACGTGAGCGACAACAACGTGACCGTACGGCTATTGGTTGCAAGGGTCAATGTCAATTTAATGGGAAATCGCATCAAAGCTGGCTAGACGGTGGTGCTCCGACTCTCCGTCCCGTGACTAAGAGTACAAAAGAAGCGTTTTTGCATCAATTAAGATTGAAATTCGGGCCATCCGGACTCGATGATGCAACATGCGCCGTGTGCGACTGCATGAAGTTGTGCAAGTCGATGACCATGGTTTCAGTTGGCGACGATTGCGATCGCGTTAAGCAGATGTAAATACTGATGTCCAGTACAGACGAGCACTTACCGCCACGTTTAACAGCCGAGTACGACTGCCCGGGGCTGTTTGCTTGTTTAGGTGGAATGTTGCTGTCAAAACGTGGTGTTCATCCAGCTGGCTACATTCAAGTGTGTGGAGAATGCAATGCCAGCTTAGCGAAGCAGCTGCTGCCGAAATTTGCTATCAAGAACGGGTTTTATGCTGGTTCGCTGCCGAGTCATCTCGCCAGTGCTACGCTACCGAAGCGTTTCATGACCTAGACGGTCTCGATCGTTGCTGTGACGCGGGTTATGCGCGGTGGCGCGCATCGCGCAATCCGCTCGCGCTATCTCGCATTCGACTCATTGCGGGGCCTCGCCGTGACGCTGTTGCCCACATCCGCCCGCAGCATCAGCTGCTACCGAGTCGTGATGGCAGGTCCGCTCACTACCGAGCAACAAGCTCACATTCGGCAAATGCACCTCGTTCGTCGTCGATTGGTTGAAGATTTACTGGCCTTCTACTGTGAGTACTTGATATACGTGGTCCAATTGGTTGACGTGCGTCAGTAGCTTGTCCTTCCACATTGGGTAGGACTTGCCGTTAAACTTCTCAAGACCACCACCAGACCTTGCATAAGTAGTGTGACGGGGTCACACAGCACCTTGCGCTAGAGGAAGTTATCTTCCGAGAGTATACAAACTCTCAGTGAACGGCAGTTCACTGGTCCCCTCTTTAATTAAAGAGAGCGAAGTGACCTTAATTAGGTAGATTGTAAACTGAGTATATTTATAGGTAGGTTAAGTTTGGGTTTAATACAAACTGTTAGCTACCTATAGAAATGCAATGTCATTTAACCAATGGTTGGCTTTGAGCGACCTTGGTACCTTGTACCGAATATCTCGGAGTATGACGTGTCATACTCCTGAAGTGTGAAGTGTCACACTTCATGTAACCAGAATACACTTAGGGCTACGTACCCCGTTACATCCTCCCCCACTTAGGTTCGGTTTACCGACCAATCAGAATGAAGAGGTGTTCGTCACAAACTCTCATTCTCAAAGTCGGAAACCATCGACTTGGCCGCGCGAGCGCGGCGGAGGCTCACTTCACAGTTAGAGCCTCGAGCAGCAACCTGTGCGCTCTTCGTCTAGGTCTCCACTTCGACCGTTAACATGCCTCGTGGCACTGCTAAGAGCGGTGCTAAGACACGCTCCAAGGCTGCAGCCGGTAAGGCGCAAGCCAAGAGCACTAAGCCTCACGGCAAAGGCTCTGCGCTCAAGGAGGCTACTCAGGTGGCCTCCGAGGCGATCGGTTCCTCGGGTGACGCGGCTGTGCACAAGCGCGCAAGCAAGCGCCGCAGCCCGTCGCCCTCATCTTCAGACAATCGTCCGAACCCTCGGTTCGTGGAACATGAGTTCAACTCGGGCAGTGAGGACGATGCCGAGTCCGAGAGCACTCACGATGCTCCTGCGGACTCTGTGGGAGGGCACAGCCCGATGCCCAGTGAGCACAAAGATGACAGCGATCACTAGCGTGCAGTCGCCCGCTAGTGATCAAGGTGATCACAGTCCTAGGACCTCTGTGCGCTCTGAGTGTCCGGCCGTCAAGGCTAAGGACGCTCCCAAAGCCGGTGGCGATGAGGAAGAGAATCCTCGCAAACGTCTCTCGCTTGCCGAGGGTCTTGCGCGCGCTAAGGCCTCTAAAGCCGAAGGCGCTAAGCCCTCAAAGAAGCGTACAGCCTCTAAGTCTCCACTCCGCGAGGAGAAGGAGACTCGACGCTCCAATCGTAGTCTCTTCGGCTCCTCGGATGAAGAGGAGGAGAAGGAGGAAGAAGAGGAAGAGGAGGGTGCCATTGTTGAGCCCCGGGAGGTCTCGAATGACCTCGACCAGCAGCAGGAGGATTTCTAAGCTGCCCAGCGTGTGCGTGGGGGCTCGGTGGCGGCACCCGTCAGCCAGGGAGCTGCCATCAACTCAAGAGGGTATTGGCCTCCCGAGGAGAGCTCTGGGGCTGACCTCTTCTTAGCGCTTCTCGTCGCTCCTCGTGGCCTTGTGGGCGGCCACACTTCTAGGGGCATCTATGAACGAGCCCTTGTTCAGAAAGAACAGTTGTTCGTCGACAACTTGGAGGCTGCTCGGTGTGTGCTTCTCGCGCAGCACCGCATTCCCCTTAAGGACTTCACGACTTGTCGTAAGAAGCCCGAGACCCGGGGTGGTCTCTATCCTGTTTGGGGATACTCCTGGGTTATGCCCGAGAACTGTCCCACGTGGAGTTCTTGGGAGGACATGTTCTGGGCGTGGGTGGAGACTCTCAAGTACTCGCCCACGGAGTTATGGGAACTCCATGAAGATCAGCAGCTGTCCCACATCGTGGACCAGCGTGATCTTCGTGTGAGGTTTGCCCACTTGATCAGCAAGCGTATGCTGCCAAGGGACATCCTGAAGCGCGCGGCTTCTAGCGCTCACGATGAGCGCGGGTACGGTATGTATTCATCGACCGTACCCCGTTCGGGCAAGAAGCCCCGGACTACTTATGAAGCTGCCGCCGCTTCTGTTCCCAGATTGCGACAGCCTTCGGGCGGTCAATCAGGAGCCGTTCAATCGGCTCCCACGAGTTCTCGGAGTGGGCATAACCCCTCCACTTCACGAGGAGCTGTCGCTTGCCGCGACACCGTTGCTCCTGGAGGATCCGCTCCACATGGAAGTGGGCTTCTCCATTCCGGTCAAGCAGGGGCGGAGGTGCCCTCGTACGAGTCGAGTACTCGTACGAGTACGAGTACTCGGCGCCTCCTGAGAGCCATTCTCGTCCGAGTGCTCCGACTGCGGGTCCGACACAGGACCCTGAGGTTGACCGCCTCCGTCAACGTGTCCTCGTGCTTGAGATTGCACTTGGCCTTGGGACTGGCGGTAATGCTGCCGCCCAGGCCGGGAATCAGGGCGAGCTCGCTCGTCTTGCGGGCCGCCTGGACCTGTTGGAGCGAGAGGTCGCGAGCCTGCACCTGCGGGTGGATCGCCGGGCCTCTTCGTCCGATCTGGACGAGGCCTTTCGCATGATCCGACGGATCGAGGCTTTGTTGCCACGTCCGGAGCCGCCTGCGGCACACTCCCAAACGTACGCGTATGGTGCGTACCCGGCGTATTCAGCGCACTCGGCGTATGGCGCCGGGGTCCGTTCGTATGGAGCCCCTCCGGCGTACGGTCTTGACCGCAGCCTTGCCGTCCCGACCGAGACTTGGGTGCCTGCTCCGACGCCCTCGTCGACGACTGTGATCGGCCCTCGCTTCGAGGAGCTGGGTCAAGGGGGATCTGCGAGTCAGCAACCCCCTGCGGGTCAAAGTACCGCTTAAGACGTCCGACATAGAACGTCGGGTGTGTCGTCATTGACTTTGGAAGGTCGATGGTGTACGACGCACCATGTCTGGCCAGGACTGCAAAAGGTCCGATGAAGCGGTGCTTCAGCTTGTTGCTGCCGACAGAGCTAACAGGGTCTAGAGGGAGGTTCCTCGTGTCTAGAAACACTAAGTCATCAATCTCAAATATACTTAAGTTTCCTCCTCCTTGTTTGTCCGAGTACTCCTTTTGTTTATCTTGGGCCGCTGCCATGGCATCGCGGGACCCTGCTGACAATGTTCAGCTTGGTATCCATAAAGGATTCCACCTGTTTCCGCAGCGAAACTGGTCTCCAATCCGAGACCTGGGAGGAGAGGGCTTTCCGAGCCTCTCCCCCACTTAGAATAGAGGAGTCAGTGTCTCCTCGAAGCGTGAGAGGCACTCTGGGGTGGCGGAAGCCGTTCAAGTAGAACGGCGTGAACCCCGTGGACGCGTGCACCGCGTTGTTGAGCGCAAACTCAACAACTGGGAGCTGCGTCGACCACGTACGTGGTGCTGTCGCGCACACACTGCGCAGAGTGTCCTCGAGCACTCGATTGACGCGCTCTGTTTGGCCGTCGGTCTGCGGATGGTCCGCAGTGAACATCTGCAGACGAGTTCCCAGTAAAGGGAACAGCGTTTTCCAACACGCGGCAGTGAACCGCGGGTCTCGGTCCGAGACAATCGTCTCCGGGAGACCGTGATAGCGGAACACGCCATCGACGAACAACCTTGCGGTTTGTTCGCCCGTCACAGTGACGGGAACTGGAGCAAGATGGATCATCTTGCTCAGCCGACACACGAACACCAAAATTCCGGTGTTGCCGTG